CCCAAACCCAAACCCAAACCCAAACCCAAACCCAAACCCAAACCCAGTGAAATTAATTTTGTCCTTTATAGGATGAAAGAAGATGAAAGTCTTATTAAAAGCAACTTAAAAATTAAATACATCCCTAATTAAGGATATCTAGAGAGATATAAATATTTATGGAAAAAAAGTATTTGCGGAGAGAGACTGACATACAACCACCTCATCATGCACGATCCTTAATTAAAAACAGAATATGAAAATTAAAAAAATCAAATAAATAGTTATTTACTATCAGGATCCTAGATTAACCAACTCTAATTTTATTAAGTCTATGCTTATGAGAAGATTCAAAATCTAAATTTAAAATTATAAAAATTGGTTGAGAGTAACTGTAATCTGTATCAGAAAAAATCAACATCAGAAACTTGAATTATGCATATTATTCATATTATTATTATTACATCATATTTTTTTTGAATTCCAAATTTATTTTCCTAAATTGAATTAATTTTTGCTAAATCCCTATAAAATTTATGCTTCTCTATTAAAAAAAAATTACCATCAAATTATCTATAATTTATGTATTCTAGTAATTCGTATTTTAACATTAATTCTTTGGAGATGGATGTAATATTGAATAGTATGCAAACCAAATTGTTATTAACTTTAATAATTAAAATAATTAGAAATAACTGCAATAAAGGATGTAAAATATCCATCTTCACATAAGTTAAATTCTGAAGAAGCTAAAACTGTAAATAACCATGTCAGTCTACTTTATACATAATATTTATTATTCTTTGTTAATGAAAGCTATTAGCTTAAATACTTAGATGAAACTACTTTTCCAACAAGACCTGCCATCCAAAATGTTATATAATCATACTAATTGTTTTATTAGCAGTTCATGATTAAGACAATATAAATTTCATTGAAAATAATATGAATATAATTGGATGGATTAATATATCTTTTGTAGTTTTAGCTTTTGTCTTTGAAATAACATATAATAAATACTTTATAATCTAAACTACTTTAAGAATCCCAAAATATTAGTAGAAAATTTTGTTTAGACACTCAACAATTCTAACTTATAATCAATAGATTATAAAATTTGATATTAAGAAGTCGACTTAACTATTGACTATTGTAAAACTTATACTTATGTAAATCTTACTGAATGCCCTGATCATATTCTGCTTTAATTTTATAAAAAGTTAATTATGAATAATAAAATGATTATATAGGATTGAAACCCAGAGAGCAAGTAGTGGTAAACCTGTAAAAAAAATGAGCATAAATTAAATACTGTAAGGACTAAAGATGAGAATAAAATAAAGTTAATAGATAAATTAATAAGTATAGTTTTTTATTTTTAATGAGGCAAACTTTATAATTAACATAAATTCTTATTTTTAATTAATGGAAGTTTATTTGGTAATAAAGATACATGTAATGGTTAGTCAATTGAGAGTTCTATTAATAGTAATTAAAATGAGCATATATTCGAAAAAATATTTAGAGATATAATAAAATAAGAGATAGTTGTATTTCAAAATCATTATTTTTGATTTATGAGGTTTAGCATTATGATCAGATTGTTTTAGTTTATTTTAGAGAAAGATTTAAAAAGTATTGGATGTTATAATTTATGTAGTACATCACAAAAATATTTGACTTATAATTTTCTTTTTAAATTAACAAAACCATTATTATTTAAACTCTTTGATTATTTATTTAAATAGGTACAGCTTTGAGTTTGATAAATAACATTCTATATTTGGAAATCTGCAGCATGCTTTAAATACAAACCTAAAGAATTTAGAGTCTATTACAATCAACAATATTACGAGCAGCTGATTTATAATAATTTTCTGCATGAGTGCTTAATTTTATTAAATACAAAAAGATAGCACTAAATTAAGTAAGGAAATATAAGCTTTTCAAGCTAATTACTGTTGCTCAATCTTTAAAATATTTAATTGCAACTATTAACAGAGTTTTCAAAATAATATTGTAGTTCTATTATTCAACACTCGAATAAATAATCATTATATACCAATTATGAATAACATTCACCTTTGTAGTATAAGGGGATACATGTATTTATCAAAATAGGATCGATGCTATCAAAAATATAGGAAATTAATGAAGATATAATAATTATGCATAATTGGCTATCCTTGGCACTTTTTAATAAGCTTTTATGAGTGAGATATAATTTTACAGCTGTTATGGATCTTATAGAGAAGAAGAAAGAATAGATTAAAATATTAAATAGATTGTTTTTATAAACATGAATAGATTACGCTTAAAAAGTGTCTTATAAATCTTTACTAAATCAAAATCTCTACGAATATATAACAATATATCTTAATCTCTCATTATCATAATTACAGAAAATTTTGAACTCATACTCCATAACTATTATAAAATTTGAATCAGACAATAATTTGTAAAATACTATAATAATTGATAATATTAACTCAATTTCTCTCAAGTACAGTGAAATGGTTAATTTTGATTTATCTCTAAGATACATAGTACATAGTATTAGATCAAATTAGTAACATTTACTAAATTAACGGAAGCCCATCACTAAATGAAATCAATAATAAATTCTTTTTAATAAATGAAATTATGAATTTTATTTTGCTTTAAAACAAGTGAGAGATTTTGTTTGCTTATAAGAATTTCAACTATTTGCATAAATGTTAATATAAGGAAAGTTTGAGTTTAGTAAAGTTTACATGATAAATTAATTTCTTATGAAGATAATTACAGCATGCAGAGTAACTACTATTGAATAGATATATATTTTACGTAACTTAGCAAAGTTCATTCAATTCTAAAATCAATTATTTTTAATAGATAAAAATCAATAATATACAGAAGGTTAGAATTCTGACAAAAATGCTAACTTTAATAAAATAGATATTATTAGAATACAAAAAAATGTTTATTAATGATGAAATATCAATAAGTGCAGCTAAAATTGTTTTTTTTTATATTTTCAAGAAAAATAATTCTTTAGAAAGAATAATTAGGTAGCTAAATAATTATCATTTCTAAAGGTAAACAATAAGAAAGATGAAAACAAATGAATTATCAATAGTCATATAAATTTGCTTAACATTGAAATAACTTCAATTTTTATTCTCTCTTATCTTAATAGTTCAAAAAGGTATTCGAGCAATTAAAAACTTGTGGTTATACTATAAAATTAATTTTGATATAAGATGTGAAATTTGATTAGTTATGGAGATATTAATTTACAGAATTTGAAATAAGAGCTTTAAATCAGAATAGTTTTTCTATTATTAATTTAGATATAAAAAAACTAAGATGCAAAAATTAATAGATAATTTCACCTATTTACTATATTAAAGATTATATATCTGAACTAACTTTTCCCAATACAAAACCAATAAGTCTAACATTGATTTCTTCATTATTTAAAAGCTTTTTGCTTCAAATAGTGCAAAATTGGATTTAAGAGCAAACATTATGATTTTAACGTTTCATTATTTTTGCTAAAATAAATAAATTGGGCTTTCGAAATATTTTTATAATTTCACATATTCTATTAAACTAATCCCAACGAAATTAGTAAGAACTTAATACAAAAAAATAAGCACTTTGAATTTTATTATATAAAGAGTTAAAGAACAGTAATAAAAAATATAGAGCCAACTAAACTTTGGATAGAATATAAAAAGTATAGAATTAGGTATAATTTTTGTTTAAAATATACTATAATATATGAGAAGTAACTCTGATCATGGATACACTTCTAAAGTTAGAGTAGAAGAAAATTTTTATATGTTATATTTCAATGAGATTTAAAAAAATTTTTTTATTTCCAAAAAACAAAATGATTCTATATTTAAAAAAGAGAAGACTGAATTGTTATTATGGCAAAAACGATGATAACAATTTGGGCAGATCATTTTGTATATTCAAAATGAAATAGATATTTTTATATATTCTACATTTTACTAGTTAAAAAGGAAGGAATGCCGTAAATATATCTAATGCAAGAAAAAAAAGGATTTCAAAAAGGCATTAGTGTAATCATTCCTCCTTTCTCAGAACCAAGTATCACAATTTTCATTATTAATATATTTCATGTGATATTAATTTTATTAGAATAAAAACAAATAATAGAATTTGATTAAGATTATAAATATATAGAAATTTTCTTATAAAAATAATATTCAATTATGTAGAATGTAATTTAAAGGAGATGTTGCTAACATGATCAAGATATTTTAGCTGTTAATATTGGATAAGACAATAAAGATGGGAATAAATATTTTTGTCCATAATGTTTAATCAAACTTATCAACTCTAAAGAATTGATACTAATGAGCTAAGCTAAGATAGAAATTCAGACCATAAAAAATTAGATTTCATAAAATATTGAAGAATAATGTAAACAAAAATTAAGTTTAATGAACAATCTATAAAATAATATAATTGAATTACAATGCCCATTAAACTAATTTTTTACTTAAATTAATGAAGAAATTGATTAATTAAAAAATCAAACTTAAAGTCTATATTAACAAAGCCAGATTATAGCTTCCGAAACTGAAAATTTAGATTAAGATTTAAAATTATTAATTGATGAAAAGAGTGATTTATTAACGTCACAAGAATATGATTAATAGTTAAAAAAATAAGTGCTATTTTAACTTAAATTGACTGATTAATCAAGAAAATTACAAGACATTATTTCAGAATTTGACAAAATATCACAATTAATAAGTAATGAATGTTTCAATATTTAAAAGAACCCTTAATCCTAAGTAATTTTTATATTAATTTAGGATACAAAAGCAAAAGAGTATTTATGTAAAAGTCATTAAGAAGATATAGAATTGCTTTTAATTGATGAAAAAAATAAAGTTTAAAAATTTGCATGTATTTAATGTGTATCAGAAAAATAAGGAAGATACTTAACACTTGAGTAATTGGAGTAGTCTTTTAGTGATTACTAATAATAATCAGAAAAGTCATTAAGACATTTTTAATAATTAAAGAATCAATAAATAAGTAACAGCATTAGCATGTTAAGGCAAGCTAAAGAAAACTATACATAAAACATAAATCAATATATTAAATAATTAGAGGAAAGTTCAAAGTCTTTTGAAAATATCATTCATTCAACTTTATAATTTAAGGATCAAAATATATTTAAATTAGAATAAGACCAATTATTACAAATATTAGAACCAGTATATTTGAATCAAAGTCCAAATCATTATTTTTAAATAATAAATAATTCATTAGAATAGGATAGCCAGTTGTATATCAATTTTGAATATAGTATGAAAGAGTTGATTACACTTCAATTTCAAAATTCAAACCAAATCTTTCTAGAATAATTAAGGCAAAGGTTTTTATTGAAGTCACTTGTAAATAAGATTAAAGAATAAAATGAAAATAATAAATTTGATTATCTTATATCAGGTGATAGTTGTAATCAAGCTAACTTTATTTTTGAAAATTAAATAAATAATTTTCTGTTTAATAAAATGCAAATGTGCATACAGTATGAATAATTTGTAAAAAATTTTGAAAATCGTAATAAGCTATCATTTGAATAAGTTCAATTGAATTAAAATTTAACAGAAGAATAAAATAAATTAAAATAATAATATAATAATTGTGAATAAGGGAATGAAATGTATAAAATGAATTTAGAAAAGAAAATTATCTACTTAGAAAGTTTAAAGACTAAAATTAATTCAATTAATTTTTGCAATCAAATATAAAATGAAATATAAATTTAAACAGATGAAACAATATAAAGCATGGAACGAAAAATAAAATAGGTTTTCTATTAATTTTATTTTTAGTATGAGGGAAAGATTTTTCAATTGGAAAAGGAAAAAGATAATTTAAACCATCCAATAAATATTAAATGTAATTAATTTATACTTACTAAAAAAATTAGAATAAGCTTCTATCTAACCTCAATTATTGGCAGTTAAGTAAACAAATCGTATTCAAAAAGGTTGAAAATTACTTAATATTAAAATTATTAATTATATTCTCATGTATTTTCTTTTCATTAAATGACTTTGATAAATTTCTTTCTTATAATTGAGCTTAAGTGTCTTAAGTATTATTCCCAATATTTTCACTGGTATATTCAATCTAAACAGTTTTATTGTTATTGATAATAAATGAATTTTTCTTCATTATAAATTTACATAAATAATCATCATTCAAATATTGATTAAAAAACGCAATGTTTTTAATTAATCATCTAATTATTATCAGTTGAATGTGTTAATAATAAATTATTTAATAATATCAATAAATAGTACTCAAAAATAAAAGAAATTGATGTTAAATGTTGTAATAATAAATGTTATCAATTTTTTATCACATCAACAAATTTTAAACTAAGTATTCTGCTACAACATTTGAAAAACAACTCTTTATATTTCATTAGCATACACTTAAGGTTATTTATTATATTAAGGATTATTACTGTTTGGTTTTATTCCATTAATGAAATTCTGCTTATATATAGTTTGAATCTTTCATTAATATTTATTTGTAGCAGTAGCATCACAATTTATTTTTATTAAAGAAATTTACTGTTATTTTTATTCAGTTCCTCCTTTTTCAATTTTTAAGAATAATCATAGTTGCATATTATTTTTAGCATTTGGTTATACCATCAAACTCTTATGACGAAGATAATGATAAATTAATTCTTTTAGGGTTTTAATCTAAAATCCCTTTAATAAAGCATCTATTCATACAAATAATTGTGGAGTAAATACAGTTTTTGGAGGATATGAGTGATTTGGATTCAACATATATACAAAAACATCTATAATGAAATATTTAATATTGCCACCTCATTACAAGATGCTTATTGATATAAATTTTGGAAATTTAATAAATTTAGAATATTCATATTATTTATATATCTTAAGAATTGATGATTGGCCACACAATATTTTTACATAATTATAGATTTATTGACTCAATCTTGGTATTTTCCATCGAATACAGGATCAAATTAATTAATGTGGTTGTTCTGGCATACACTATGATACTCCATAATATAATGTATTTACTCAACATACATTAAATTCAAAAATTGTTGAATTATACTCAGATTTTAATAAAAATATGTTTTATATATTTTTAATATCTTAAGAACTTTTGGAGTTTACATTTATTAATGATATCTGTGATCTTGAGAGATCAAGAATCAAAAAGAATAATCAAATATTTGAATTTAAATATCACTTATCTTGCGAAATATATGAATAAGGAAAATGAAATAAATGTTTTGATAAAAAATTTCTTTTTTTAAGCAAACTAATGCATCTCTCAAATTACGTAAGGTTACTTTTATTTGAAGTTAAAATTCATATGACCCAAACAAAAATTGGATTCTATAAATGTAATGATAGTTGTAAGATTTAATGTTGGAACCTATTGCTTATCTTGTATTGATGGTTGGTAACTTATATGGTATATGCATATAGATTTGTGGAGATAATTTGATAGCAATTTAATCTTAAGAACAATACGATAAAGATTGGATGATTGTATTAATTGTAAATTTGTATATCTAGAAAATTTTTAAATAGCATTATTCCTTAATAATGTCATTAGTCTTTTATTAAGATAAAATCATCATTGTTAGTTAACATTTATAGAAGGATGTAAGGAATGTATTTATGGTATTTTTGATGCTGATTTTCCAAAAAACGAAATGAATATTGATGGTATTTGCTATTCAATTTGTGGTGATGGGAATAAAATTTGGTTTGATGGATGCTTTAATTGTAAATTTTCATCTTATCAGAATTGTGTTATTTTTTTGAGGGAATTAGTTATGAATGTTAACAATTCTATAAATTGATTAATAGTGCAGTTTATGATGACTACAAGAATAAAATCGTACAATGAATAATTTGATAACGTCAATCTTTTGATTGAAGTTGATTATAAGTCTTAAGAAATAACTTATAGTTACTTTGAATGCTAGTATTCTGAATCTTCTTAAATTATTGTCAATTCTTAAATCAAACTAATATTAAATATTTTCTTGAAATTTAATTAACTTAAGCAATCTTATTTAGGTAAATTTATGTTTTGGAATTTCTGTTTGTTTTTAGTATTGATGAAGTACGCAATGAGGATTATTAAATCAAATTATAATCAAACGATTTATTAACTAAATTCTAAACTTGTAATTTTAGGTATATATGGAATTTTAAATCTCGCCTAATAATAATTTAGTTTAGTGTAATGTATTGCTTATAAATGAAGCATGTAATTAAGATGAAATTGAATTAATAAATCCATCTGAGAAAATATACTTTAAATATATTATCAAATGAGTTCTTCTAAAACAGAACAGACTAAATAAATAACCCAGTCAAAATTAAAAAGTAATCATAATTACCTATGAGATTAGTAGTTTAATAATGTTAATTACTGAAAATTTCATAATTCTTGTTGAAATATGGAAAAATAATATTTATCCTGAAAATTTATACCTTTTTTATTGAATCCACTAATTTAATAAGCATTATTCCAATTTTTGAATATTTATAAATTGATGAACTCTTTCCAAAATTAAAGTTTTATAATCTAAATGCTCATTTTATTGTAATGATAATGTTATTTATAAACTCATATGTTTGAATTAAAATTGCTCATAAAAGTATTCATTAGATGTAATTTTTTTCACTTTTCTGTATGTAAAAAAATTTACTTAATATATGTTGCTTTTAAAGTATTTTTATGTTTTGTAGCATTCTCAAAAAATGACATTATTTAGAGAATGTAGAATATCTTTTCTTATTTGACTTTAGCAATGCAGGAATATTTATCACATCCTCATTAAAGTGTGGGTTTTCAAGAAATTAATATAGTTTATTTGGAAAAACAGAGCTGTTTACTAAAATAAAAAATTTTTTTTTTGCAATTTCTTGATTTATTTTCAAAATCATTAATTGATTCAAATATATTAATGTTAACCCATTTCATATTTCTTATGAGTAAAATTTATTCAACTTTATTTTTAAATTCTAATTCATCAAATAAAAAAAAATGATTATATAATTTCTGATTAATTTTTATTTGGAGTAAATAGATATTGATCTGTCAATATTAATTTCAGTTAGGCATCCATATTATGTGAAGTGTTAATTATTAGTTTAATTTTTCAATTTTTCTAATGATATTTTAACTTTTATTTACATATAAACTATTATTAAAAATTAAATATAGAGAGAAAACTATTATCTTCAAAATTAAAATCTTTTTGGTTTTATAAAGAGATTTTGATGTTCATTTTCTAAAAATGAAATAATTTACTGATTTCATGAAATTATTAATCTTACCCTAATTAAGGAGGTTTCATAATAATTATAATCAATATATGAATAAATAATAAACTAAGCCAAAAAAGGAATGATCTTAAATTCTCATTTTAACTTAAAAAGGCAAATAATTTATACATAGAATATCATGTTTTTAAATATAGTAAAGAATTATTTCAAAAAAATTATGAAACACTATTTAAAGTATTCTTAGTAGAGCTTGAAAATTATCAGGTGAATTAGAAGATCAAGATGTTATTTCCTAAATTAAATTTTAGTATAATATATATTATTATTCTAAAATATATAATAGAAACAATTTTTATTGTTGTTAATATCAATAATATTGTAATCTAATTCTACCATATTTATCATCATTTACAATTATTGTTCATATTTTTCATGGTTTATATAAAATTTCAAATCTAATGTTCTTTGATCTTTTATCTAATATATAAATGTTAAGTTCAAAATTTATTTACAATTTAAGATAATAAAGTAATAAATATTTAATGATATCAGTCGTAGTACTTATAAATATTTATAGATTTGGAATAATTATCCCATGTAACTAAATAGGTTCCATTTTCATTTAAAGCAACCTAAGCAGAAGAATCTTAAAATTGCAATTAAAACTCAGTCACAAAATAAGGATCATCTTATATTTTAATAAAATTCAATGATATTCCATCTTTATTTAAGAGTATCTACTTTTCTTTGATATAACTTTGATTGAATTTCCTAGAACCCCAGTTGCCATAAGTTTAAATATTGAGTTCTCTCTATTTAATTAATTAATTGTCTTGATTCTTAAATTTGTACAAATCCAATTTTTTGAATGTTTGTTAGACTACAAATGAATCATTTCCAATAAAGCTTATTCCTTGTCCTAATTTACCTATATTAATATTTTATAGCTTCATCCACTATGTTCCTCTTTTAATAAATGTAACTATACTCTTGTTATAATCTGATAGAATCAATTTATCTCCTATTTCATTAAAACTTACAGCACATATTCTGATGTTATTTGTATAAAAATATTCAAATTACAATAAACTTTATTTGATCCAAAATGATACTTTCCAATCATCACATGAAATTATAGAATCTGAATATTTACTAGATTTTAAATGATAGATTGGGGATAGATGATAATTTAATTTTTATATGTATTTTCCTTGATTAATACCTATTTTGCTTGATATTTATAATTATCCATTAAACATTGCAAATAAAAATAAATTACCTTTCTTCAAAGATTCTATGCAAGTGACTGTGGATTTAGTAATTTAAAATAGAGAGATGTAAATTAATTTTTCATTATTAAATAAGTAAGCCTTCAAAATCATCCCAAAACTAGCCATAATCAAAGTTGAAGTGTTATCAAATGCTAAGGAATTACATTATTATTTTTAAATTAATTATGTTTAATCTAAAACTTCATACCTAAACTATTTTTGCTCTTTTACAATTAATGTGCATTCTTCTGACAGACCAGAAATATTAGTTTGCATTATTATGATTATTATTTTTTAATTGTAATATATATAATATTTAAAATAAAATTTATAATTCTCTATTAAAGTGTAAATTATATAGAGATAATTCTATTTTTATTACAATCTAATCAATAATCAAAAACAACTTTGATTGATGTAATGGAACAACTATTATAAAATATATTAAAAACTGTTATTAATTCTTAAATTTTATTATAACTCTTTAAAATATATTGATAATAGTACAATTGATCAATCAAGATAAAATTGTTTCATTCTTGACATTCATGTCAATTAATAAAATTTAATATTTATAAATTATTATCATTTAAAAAAAGAGCAATGTTATCAGTTTTACTCATCTGCAGGAAATTCTGATATAGTAACTGGAAGTTCAGGAAATTTGGGCTAAGTTCTTTCTATAAGTTTAATTTTTATCTAGATTTTTCGGCATTTTATGATCAAATAAATTAGTGTAAATGAGATTAATGAAAATATAGCTGAAATAATAATAAAAATTGTTCCACTGTCATCTTTATCAGTTGACTCTGAATCCAATATTTGATTTTCTATTTTACACTCATCATTTTTAGTGTTGAGAGTATAACCCTTTGAGCAGCTTAGACACAAATTAACATCTAAGCATTTTTAGCATTAATTGATATTACATATAACTGAAACTTTATGGCAGTAACCATCATTTTAAAGAATGTATTCTTATTCACATTATAAGCATTAACCCTCATTACAAGTGATACAATTATTTGGACATTTAATGCATTTAAGATCAACCAATTAATATGAGTCTTGGCAAATTAAGCAATTATTAGAAGATGAACATGTTAAACAATTTTCCATACATCTTTCACACATTTCATTATTTAAATAATAACCATTTTCACAAAGAGTACATTAAGTAAGTGTAGTGCATTTTAAACATGGAAGAACACACTATTAACACTTTCTCTCTTCTGTTAAATAGTAATAATCAGTACAAACTAAACATACATCTTCTTAACATTATTTGCATCCCTGCTCACATTTTATACATTGATATACAAAATCACTTATCTCAGATAAATAATATCCATCTTCACAAAGAATACAACTTTTTGTTTAAACTTAACATGACTTGCATCCTAAATTACATTTTTCACATTTCATTTCTGATGTTAAAAAGTATCCCTCAAAACAAGAGGAACATTGATTACTTGATTATGAGCAAGATTAACATATAGAATTGCATTGATGACATTCTTAATTTATTAAATAATATCCTATTAAACAAGATTAACATTTGTAAAGATCATCCTTAAAGTGATTACATGATTAACAAAATTGATTGCAATTTTAACAATTTTAATCTAAGCATTGATAACATACGCCATTTAATAATAAAAATCCTAAATTGCATGAAGTACAAAAAGTACTCATATTTTTACATGTTTTACACATAGAATCACATTAAAGACATTTATTATTATTTTCAAAATAGAATCCATCTATACAATCAATACATTCTTCATTTGAATAGCACTTATTACAAGGAGATTTACATCTGAAACTATTAATTTGATTTAATTCTGTAATTCTATTATCAATATAATATAATTGATTAGAGATCGTTAAACAAAATTAATCATTCAAACAAGTATTACAAGGAAACTTACACTAAATACAAATTTCTGATTTCTCATAATATGTTTCTTCACATTTGATACATGTTTATTATTCTTTACAAATTATACAATTCTATATGCAAGAGTCACAAGAATTGCTTATGGTATTATAATACTATTTATTTACAAGACAAATAGGGACTTCAATTATTTTATCTTCGATACAATTCCCATTATTTAATTTATATCCATTCTAACATTATAAACAAAACTAATTATTGCAACTTATGCATTAGTTTTAATAAAGTTAGCTACAACTTTGACATTTCCCATTGTTTAAAATATACCCTAATGAACATTCCAAACATGATTCTTCATTAATACAAATTGTACAATATTCTTTACATCTTTTACATTCAAATGGGATGTTTATATATGTGGGATAAAATCCTTTTTAACATTACTCACATTAAATGAAATTTTTTATAGTATCAAAAATACATGCATCTTTACAATATAGCGGACATTCTATAAATTAGAATATTTATAATACCATAGCATTATTAATTTAATAAATAATGATTTTGTAAGCAACTAGTGCATAATGGATTCTCATTATAATAGCAAGTCTTACATGGTGTTGGACACTAAGCACAATTTTGATGTTCTTTAATATAATAATGTTATTCATCTATACAAGAGAGACATTTAGTTTAACTTAAACAAGTTAAGCAAGGAAATTAGCACTCTTTGCATTCAGAATTATCCAGATAAAATGAATTGGAAACACAATTAATGCAAGTTTATTAATTTACACATGTTTAACAATCAACAGGACATGGATAACAAAATAAATCAATATCATTTCTATATTATTTATCAAAACAATCTTGACATTAACATTCATTCAAGAAATCTAGACAATTGTTAATACATTTTAATGCAATCCCATTTTCGATATAATATCCTTTCTGAGATTTTATACAATAATTCAAATCTTAACACAGAATGCAGTTCTCATTACATTAAAAACATTAATTATCACTTAAGTAATAACCATCTTTACAAATATTACATTGATCTTGTAAATGACAGGATTTACAATTTTATGAACATTCAATACATTAATAAAATTCATCTAGTTAATATCCATCCATGCATTTTAAACATAAACAATTCTAATCATATTAATCACATTTGTACTATTACTAAAATTCTTAACAGGTCAAACATAAGCTATTACTGAGAATGAATTAATTTTTACATTTTGTACATTCTTTCTCATTATTACAAGTTTGGCATGTTTAATAACATTATAAACAAATATTCTTTTGAATATCTAAATAATAATTTTCCTAGCATCTAATAGAATGATCTGCCAAGAGACATACTTCTTTAGTACAAGTTATGCAATCATCAGGGCATTACAATTAACAAATGTTATTATATATATAATATCCATTTTCATTGTCACATTAGCATTCTTTATTTTTCAAAATATAATTAGGCTAACATTTCTATATTATAAGTTCTTATCCATTATAAAAGTAATCTAAACTATTAGATGGTCTCTACAATAAAATATACAATATATCATTTATTATTTCATCTAACTAGGATTCTAATAAGAAATTATTAAGCTCATATGCTAGATAATAACATAATGCCATTTTTCCTTCTTTTATTTCTAACAAACGATTTTGTTTTTCATTTTTGATATTATTATTTTCTAACAATGCAATCTATAAAAAAACATTTCCTTCATATTTTTATAATAGGAATTGAAAAATTACAAATTCCCATATACTTTAATTTAATATTCTAATTCCTGAATATTAATTGTAATTTATGTAATTAACATTAGCAGCCCAGATCATAGTTGATTCATGATTGAGCATAATTCCAAAAGCAAACAAATTATCAAATTTTTACATATAAGCTTGTCCCTGTGGATATGGTGTTGTTGTACTAATAATTTTGTTTGATTCTAATTTTGAAATTAATTAAAATTAATTAATGCCATCATTTACTATTCCTCTCTCAATCATATAATCTAGTCCTTAAATTGTAATTTAAGAGTATGAGTATTTGTTTTATAATCCATTTACATATTATTCTAATGATAATATATATTAAAATTGAAGAATTTATTATTTGAATTATATGTCTAAATAGAATAACCAAAAATACTTTAACAATTATATGTATACCACACTTCAATATACCCTTCTTTGCATATACATGTTTAATTACTGCCTAAAACTCTATAAGTAAGCTCTTCATTTCCACAACTAATACATTTAGATGGATCATTTGGATCACAATCTACACAATTAGAAGGGCATTCTAATTTTGTTTTTATAAATTACACAAACACTCTTATCCTCCTATATCCACAAAATTTTGTTTACAATGACATACGTTTACGTTGGCTCCTTTTTCAACAACAATCTTCAAATTTCTTGTCGAGGGACAACTAGAACAAAAATCTTAATTAGTATCACAAGTTTCACAATGATATTCACCTAATTAATTAAAAAGCGATTTACATGATTATATTAGTTTAAAAGTAACAAATAAAAGAACGATCATATAATTTGTTAATTAATAATTTAATCTTTAAAGTTTTTAATTTGGTTATGTAAAGAGGGTTTTATTTTATTTGATCTTGTTGATTTTATAAATTGATGCTTGAATAATTTAAATTAAATATATATATTTAACATGACTAATCAGGTAATGATTGAATCTTAAGATGGAAACTACGATGGCAAAATCTAACTAAATCTTATGTTTTTGTTTGATGATGTTGACATTTTCTTTAAGTGTAAATTATTCCTCAATTATATCATTCTTAATTTATTCTTTATTCTTTTAAACTTATTGCTTTTCTCTATAATTGCTTGATTCATTCTATTTCGTCTTAATTTGAGATACTTGAGTATATAATTGAAAGGGAAAAACATAAATTTTTATAGCTTATCTATGATATCCTTTTGCCAAGAATGGATATTTTTATTCACTACATCAATTATCTATTGAACATTATGATGAGAAAAAAAATAGTCATAATTTTTTAACACTTCAAAGTTATCTATTGTTTTTTGATTTAATTTCCAGAATAGAGGTTCAATTTGACTTAAAGCTTATCTGACAATAGGCTCATCTTGATCTTACTTTATTAATTTATTATAGAGAAGAATGATATTTTCATTTTGATAATTCTGAAATTCTATTGCCATTTATTAATCTTCTAAATCTTCATCCTAAATATATCTTACTGTGAAAGTAGTTGTAGTACTCTTTTTTATTTATTTATTTTATGGATGAAGAGTCATCTTCCTAATAATTCTACCTTAATTTAATTATTATCTCAATTCTCCTTTAAGATCAATATCTGTTTCTCTTATTAAATTTTTTTGAATCCTAATGCTGCTTAATAAATCAGCACAAGCTGTTTATTAAGGAGGAAGGCAACCTTACTACACTTATGGAGTTAATTTAATATTATCATTGGAAGGAGGAGGCTCAACAGAATTTGAATCAAATAAATCAGATTCATGATTAAGATAAATTTTGAGTTATTAATTAATTATGACTTAATTGTCGCTTGAAAATACTTTTGCAAACTCTGCAACTAATTCCTTTTCTGATAAAGCTAAAAATACATTTTTTGATGTTCTTCTTGTAAAAGAAGATCTCAATTAGTATTTTGAATGTTAATATCGTTTTATTACTACTTCTCTGTTGGATTTTAATTAAATATAGGGACATTGAGCCAATGAATGTTCAAATTGTTAACAAGCAGGACAATAAACACTCTTTGTTAAAACTACGGAATCTAAGTTTAGTATTATTGAATCTTTCAATTAACAGTATTTTTAAAAATCTTCTGGAAAATCTTTTAGAGTTTATAAGAAGTCTTATTTAGATAAAACTAAGAGACTGACATATCCAACAGCTTTGAATAGTTCCATTTCAGGATCTTCAATTATAAATTCTTTAACACAAAGAAATTCTCCTAAATTTATTATAGTATTCATTTTAGATCTTTGTTTTGAATCTTTATGCTAATACAACAAATGTCCTTATTCAATAAAACATAGATGATGTTAACCATTAAAATCAATTTAAAATGTATTTTCTGGTGGAATAACTTAATTTTTACAATAAATATAATACTTTTCCTTTTGATACTCTTGAATAGAGCATTTCTAAACTCTTCACTAAAAAATTATTACAATAGAATAGATTTCTCAATAAATACCTTATGAGCCTATTTGTCTAATTCTTCTTTGAGTTCATCAGATAATTAATCTAATAATGCTTATTCTATTTCTAAGTCTACTTCATCATCTTCTTTCCACCTATAAGTTAAGTATTCCTTTATTCTAAAAATAAGATCATAATTTATACTAATGTTACAGAGCAAAAGGAATATTTCTTTTTGTCATATACTTATTGATAACTCTCATCTTTTAATTTCTTTCAACTTAATTTTGAGTGATGTCATTCATAATACCTCCTATGAAATTAACACTATACGAAAACCATAAACATGCTCCAAGGATGAATATGATTGTAACTATTTTCTCTGTTGGATTCTTAGGTACATTATCACCATATCCAATTGTCAACATTGTTACAATTGCAAAATACAAGGCTTCCAAATATTATAATTGCCAAGATTTATCAGTTAAATCCTTAAAATCTATCCAAGAATCTTCTATTTACAAACTCGAGATCCAAAACCAAACACAACTAAACAGATGTAAAATATAAAACAAAGTAGCTACAAATTTTAATAAACCCAATATTCCTCTTTAAGGTCTTGTAAAATATGAGAGTTATTCACTTTTTGAGAGTATTTCATAAACATAAGAATATTGTGTTAATGTAACTAATGTGAATAGGTTATAGTACTAATCTTATGGTTCAATAGATAAAAATATTATCATTATCATTATTGATAAAAAGTCTATTAGCATTGATTTTTTAGCCTAATATACAATTAATCTCCATCTATCTCTTATAGCTTATCCATTTAAATATTACTAAGTATTTATTCTAATCAAGAAATCCATTATTAGAATTATTATTATTATTACAGTCAAAGGAAAATTGCTTTCAAACATTATTTTCGTCTTGAATGCCACCTCTAAAGGTATTAAAACAACTAATATAATCCGAAATACGACTGCAAATAAATCCCAATACATCTTGAAAACTGATTCAGATTATATTAAAGGGATTTTATTAATAAAATTTTATAAAAATTTGATTGCCTGCTTTTTCATATTTTAGTAGTATTGCTTCATTGTTTCCATTTTTGTTTCCTCAATAGACGATTCCATCTTTAATAGTTTTTTCATTGCTTTTAAAGTAAACCCTGCTCGTTGAATTGACTTTGTATATTGCAATACTACATTACTATAATAAAACTCCATATTTACATGTCTGCTGCTTTATCTCCAATCAAATTCAAATGAGTAAAATTCAATGTCTCAATTATTCTTCTCTTTATTTACAGTTTCTCCAAAAATCGCTTTATCAAAAAGAACGCCATCATGCTTGAACCAGTTGAATGCTATTTATTTGTAGGGGTATTTATCAATGTTCTATTTGTCTCTGGAGTATTCTACTGGATACTCTTTAAAGTGATGTTTTCCATCTTCTGACCGTTTAAATCATTGAACCCCTCCATGCTCTTGATACTCTAAGTTTAGCTATATAAATTTGGACAGTTAATTGAAGTTTCTCTCTTTGTTGTACGTAAGCAAAACCCTAAATATTATTATTCAAAGTCTTCATGCTATTCAGCTTAAAGCTCTTAATCTAAATCCATATTGAATCCGGGAGATTCGAATTACATTATTTATTATTTATTATTAATAAGACTAACTAAAACCTAATTATTAATTTTATTCACAGAATTAATATTACTCAAATCAAAATAATATATTAATTCATTCTGCGATAATTCATTTAATCATTATGAATCTTTCTTTCTAACAAAATATCACAGACAATTATTTGTAAATAATCTTGATTTAATATAATATAATCATAAAATTTTATACATAAAACTATGGAAATTGATTCATACAACTAACATTATATAATTTTATTATCTAGAATAATTATATATGTGAAGTTTACATTTTTTAAATAATAACTTGTATAGGATATGAAGACTTTCAAAAGATAGCTATAAAATTTCGTAATTACTTCTAGAACAGATCATATTCTATCCTTGAATCCTTTAAAGCATTAATCCAGTTGTAGTTTCAATTAATGATCAGATCATTCATTAATCAACACCTGGTTAAATTTTAGGTTTATTTTCAATCAAAAATTCGCATAAATATATAATGATTTCACAAACATAGTATAATAATAAGAGAAAGAATTTTAGGAAAAGACAAGTAATTCAAAGATGAGGTAGAATTACAAAAAATATATTGAAATATCAGCTAATTTCTACAAAAATTATATGAAGTTGCAATTTCATTTCAGTAAAATTAGAAATCATAAGCTTTCAAGTAGATGATAAAATAGCCATTTTGAACCCATTGAAAAAGGAGGTGGCCTATATCGCTGTTATGAAGATGAAAATCAGGAAGTTCATTACCCACCAGAAACAATCAAAAACTGTCTCGATTAATTGAGTAAAATATCTGGAAGAGATGAATTTAATGGAATCCCACTTAGTTGCTTAACAGCGATGAACAAAATGATTTACAATTAAATTTGTCAAAGAATAAGACAATAACTAAAGATCGAATGTCAAATAATTTTAATCAGAACATCCAAACAAATTGGTATAATCAATAATGTCTTGAAACAAAATATTCTACAAATCAAAAAATTCTTAAGTGAAACCAGATTAGTTCCACTAAATAAATTGTTTCCTCAACTAAAAAATCAAACTTCTATCAGGCCTGAAGTCATACTCAGCCCAATTTTCAAATACTTGGAACTGAGATTCATTGATAGACTGATCCATTATAACCTATAATTCTTCTACTATTTGAGTGGCTTTATATAAGGCAAAAGTACTTAGTCTAACATCAAAAAGATAATTTAGCTACAAAATGAAACTAAGAAGTTGGACAAATTAGACCTAGTCTTAATCGGCACTTTGAGCGCACACAACACATTTAACAGAAAACGATTGAACCAGATTATGTAACGTAAAATATTCTTAAAATTGAGGATGTTTAATTTTTACAGAAATTACATCAAAAATATGCATTTTCAAGACCAAGCCAATAAGAAGATCAAATATTGTTATGGAAATTGAGTCTTTTAGGGTTCTCCAATCTTACCTTAATTTTTAACATATACTCTGATGGTTTCATCATAATTAGAATTTTTTAAATAATGTTAGATGAGGATGATCTTTTGTTTGTCTTAGCACTGTAAATTAAGAGCTATATAGAATCTTTGAAGAATATTTCTTAAAACTGGTCACTTCAGATTAATAAAAAGAAATTAGCAGTACTTCTTATAAGCATCATTCTAAATTTATAGACCCTTTGATCTCTGGATATACAAAGAGATAGTAGGTTTATTTGGGAATAAAAATTAATGAAAGGATAAATGAAAAAAAAGACCTTAAGAAATTTAAAAGAACAACCAAAATAAGTTAGATAGTATTAATTTAATAAAAAATTAACATTTGGTAGATATTTATCAATTTTTTGATTATATAATAAAAAAATGAAAAGTTCAATTAATTAAATTGAGAAACTCTTTCTTTCAAAAAGGTACACCTGAAAAAGTTTAGAATATATTTTTAGTATTCATATAGAATCTCAGAAGAAACAGAATATTTTAAATTTATTAAGTTCTTATTTTCAAATAATGGAATATTTGTGTAAACAGTTATAGAAATTAGTATGAAAATAAAACTAAATTTAATTGTTGAGCTAATGAAAGGTGAGAAATAAATTTAGAACTGTAATAAAAATTATCATGAGTTTCAAATGACGTCAAAAGTTTTTGTGTTTCTCATTAAATAACAATAATAATTATTATTATAACTTTAAAAGATTAATATTGGATAAAAAAAGATAGAATAAAAATTTTACATATTTAATGAAAATGATAATATTTCTAAATTAAGCAAATTTAAATTAATAATTTAAAAATTTACAATTCAAATTTAAAATAGAAATCAAATTATTTGATAAGTTGTGTAATTTGAATCTTAAGTGTTTATTTAGAAACGATTAATAAGTAAATACATTATGTTATTCTTGATATTTACAAATGTTATTAAATTTAAACCAAAAATAAATTATATTTTATTATTTGTTAATTAATTAAAGCTTTGATAATGAAGTTTATTTGGTATTTTATCAGATTTAAACAAAAAATATATTAAGTAATTTGATAAAATCTATTTTTTTTATTAAATAATATTATA